CAGAACTACAGTAGTTCATTTTGGTGCAAAAAAAACTTTGAGGGCCAGCAGACGGCATGAAGGTTAAGGCATCTGGATCCCACTACAGTGTGAGTCCCAGACCCACAGCTTGAAAATCATGCCGGGCACATGTGCATGCATGCCCAAAGTTCCAAGCGAATGAAGGGATTACAGGCCATCTTGCCTCAGAGAGTGATTTCGCTGTCTCTCTCCTGGTCTCCAGCAAGCTCACGTGCCCTATAGCAAACAAACAAACCAAAACCAAAACCAGTCCACACGCTTTTCCATAGTGCACACTCTTCTGTGAGCTTCTGAAGACGCCGTGTGACCTGTGCACAGCAGAGGCATGGAGCAGTGTGTTGTACACAGACGTGGCGTACGAAAGACAATGTTTAAAAAGAGGAAGCTCAAACGGCCATATAATCAGCCCTTCTCCAGAGTGAGGGACATGGAGACTGAGGGTGGCAACAGATGAAGCCCCGGGGCCACTGGTGGCTGGGTGGTGAAGGTACCTGGAGCTTACACAGCCAGCTGCCTCAGTATGGTCCCAGGCCCAGAGATGGGAAACGAGCGGGTGCATGTGACCCAAAGTCCTAAACGGAGAATGGAAGAAAGGGATTGTGGAGTTGCCATTCCCTTGGGGAGGTGCTGGCTCGCTCGCTCGCTCGCTTGCTCGCTTTCTCTCTCCTCCCTAGGGACCAAACATGTCCCCTAGAAAAACAAAAAGATGAAGCGCTCTGGTGACAGCTTCTCAATTTCATCGAGTAGGTCTAATATCACTGATCATCAGAAAACTAAGCCCCTTTGTGGGGCCAGCAGGTGACATGGTGGTTAAGGGTGCTGGACTCCCACATGGTCAATCGCGGCTCAAGTCCCAGACCTGGTGGCTTGCTATCTCACTTCCGCAGCAAGGAACAGAGATAATTAATTAATTACATTATTAATTAATAATATAAAGTTAAATCGAATATAAAAAAAGAAAAGTAAGCCTCCTCCAGTTCCAGGTGAGATGAGGAATGGTTGGAGGAGGGTCCCTTCTCATGTGAGAGGAAATCTAAAAACCACAGCTACTTGGAGGGTGAGAAGTCCAGAGTGGTGGGGGGGGCCCAGCCAGTGTCAGGGTGCTTAAGGCGGCTGAAGGGACGCCGCCCACGGAATGGCTAGAGTCCCAGACTAAGCACCAAAATACAATGGCGCCTGAGTGCACGCACGTGCACGCCCCAGATCCCAAGGGGATGGTAAAACGTAGGAAGCATGGCCGCATGACCACCCCCACAGGGGTGTGTCTCACTCTCTCCCAGTCTCCGTCTCTCTGGCAGGCACGCATCCTGTGGCAAAATTTGAAAAAGAAACAGAGCGCCTCTCACCCCGCCCATTTTAACTCCTGCTCAGGTAGTCCTTGGGAGAGCACACGGCCAGACTGCCCCAAGCTCACACTCCCAGGTCGCCGTCTGGCCTAGTTCTGGCCTAAGCTGGACACAGCACTCCCCACTGTGTCCCTCCTGTTAGTCTCCGGGTCCTCGGGGCTCATTCTGCCTCGGCCCCTTTGCCCAGTTTCGTGCCATCCCGTCTGTGAGGGCTCACCATTATCTCAGCTCTTCCGGGAAGACATCACAGAAGCTCCAGCCAAACGGAACCCCAGGAACCGCTCCGCAAAATGAAGTCTTGTACTCGAAGGAAACATCCTTTTGGAGACGTCAGCTGTGAACAGAAATTAGGTTTGGCCATGGCTACACATTGCTTAAGAGCTTCCTAGGTAAGTTGGGGCCCGCTAAGCCTGTGAGTGCGGTTGGTCCCCGGTGCTCCGCCAGCGAACGCGCCCCACCACGCCGCGAGCTACCCTGTCCCCGTGCCCAGCCAGCAAACGCGCCCCGCCACGCCGCGAGCTACCCTGTCCCCGGTGCTCCGCCAGCGAACGCGCCCCACCACGCCGCGAGCTACCCTGTCCCCGTGCCCAGCCAGCAAACGCGCCCCGCCACGCCGCGAGCTACCCTGTCCCCGGTGCTCCGCCAGCGAACGCGCCCCGCCACGCCATGAGCTACCTTGGCCTGCTTTTGCCAGGGCCCCTTGCATACCTAGTCTGAAAATGCACACTACACCCCATAAACATGCACCATCACTACATGTCGGTTCAAATTAGCTTTTAAAACCACACTCAACAAAGAACCCAAATAATGGCTTACTTGACTTTCTAGAGAGATTTTTGCAATAGAGCACATGAGCTCACTGGAGAGACAGAAAGCGAGAAATCACTGCCCCCGGGTGGGGAATGTGGCCATGCTGCTGTCCCTTCTCCTCTGTTTTCCTTTCGGGATTTTGGGAACCCATGCATCCTCGCCTGGTATAAGTTTTAAAGCTGCGGCGAGGTCTGGGACTTGAACCACAATCAACTACGTGGGAGTCCAGCGATGTAACCACTGCGCCATCTGCTGGTCCCATTACAATAGCGGCTTTCTTAACCACAGAGTAAGATGAAGTCGAGGGCCAGCACATGGCCTGATGGTTGAGGTGCTGGACTCGCAAACAACCGCGGTCTGAGGCGCAGACCTGGGGGCTTGCTTTCTCACTTTCCCTCTCTCTCTAGTGAGTGTGCATGCCCTACAGCAAATTGAAAATAATAATAAAGTTAAATAATTATGTTTTAAAAGATTATGTTGTTAAACACATAAGAAATCATTGGTTAGTCTGTGTAACTGCAGCTGAAGGCGGGAACATGGGATGAAGGTGACACGTCTGATCAGTGAGAAGCAGCCACTGTCCCCCATCTCATTCCTAAAACTAGGCCCCGGGAGCCGAGCTCCGTACATCAGAGACCCCTGTTGGAGGCTGGCTAGTTTATTCCTGATGTTTCTGAATCTGGCCTGTGGTCCCAGGCCCACTCTGCAGACCACCTGGAGTTGTGTTTTCGGCCCAAGCCCCGGGGAGCCTCCCTGTCCCCTGGCTGAGCTCCCAACAGGCCCGGCCAGCAGGGACTGCGCTGGGCACAGGCGAGGTGGTCCGGGAGCCAGACTCCAGCGTGGCTGCCCACTGTTCCCAGGGCGCATCGCCCTACAGCAAACGCTGTGACCCCTGGACCCGTGGCTTGGGTCCCCAGCTCCCATGGTGGCCTGCTCCAGCCCCAAGCCGGTTGGGCAGACCTGCAGGCGGTGAGCAGAGGCCCTGGGCAGGCGATCGCCCTGAGATGGGACCGCGAGGACAGGGACAGGGACGGCACAGGGACGAGGATGAGACCGCAAGGACAGGGACAGGGACAAGGACGGGACCGCGAGGATGGGGACAGGAACGAGGGCGGGACTGTGAGGACGGGGACAGGGACGAGGGTGGGACTGTGAGGACGGGGACAGGGACGAGGATGAGACCGCGAGGACGGGGACAGGGACGAGGGCAGGACGGTGAGGACGGGGACAGAGATGAGGGCGAGACCATGAGGACGGGTACAGGGGCGAGGACGGGACCCCAAGGACGGGGACGGGGCGGGGACGAGAAACTGGGGACGGGGAGGCCGGGGAGGAGGAGCTCTGCCCCGGGCCCCGGGCCTCCGGAGGCTGGTGACTGACAGGGCGGGGGCGGAGCTTGGCCCCTGTTGCCCAATGACCTTGACGCCGGCCCGAGGGCTCCCGGCACCGACCAATCGGAGAGTGTCTCGGACGGTGACGTACCCACGCTAGGCGTTGCCAGGCGCGGATCGGGAGGCCGGAGCTGAAAGAGCAGCGGTGAGTGGTCAATGTCAGAGGACCTGGATGAAAGCCCGCTTGTGATTGGGCCAAAAGTAGACCGGCTCCCACGGGCGCGGCAACAACCGGACGCGAGGTGCAAGTACAGGCCGAGCGGGTGAGGGCCGGGTGGGGCCGGGGGTAGGAGGAAGGCGTGGGCGAGAGGGAGGCGAGGACCGGGTCCAGTCTCGGAAGAACTCAAGTGTCTGCGCCGGGTCAAAGCCCTCCTGCGACTTCCTCCCGGCTGCTGGGAGGGGACGGGCCGTGGTCGTGTCTGTTCGGAGCCGTCGGGGGCTGGGCCTGTGCGGGGCCGGGTCCCCCTGTGCCTGACCAGGGTCCACTGTGCTGGGCCTGGTCCCCCTGTGCCGGGCCTGTTCCCCCTGGACCTGGCCGGGGTCCACCTGGGCCTGGCCCGGGTTCACTGGGCCGGGCCGGGGTCCACTGTGCTGGCTGGGTCCCCCTGTGCTGGGCCAGGTCCCCCTGCTCCGGGCAGGGTCCCCCTGTGCCGGGCGGGGTCCACCTGTGCCCGGCCGGGTCTTCCTGGGCCGGGTCCCCCTGTGCCGGGCCGGGTCTTCCTGGGCCAGGTCTCCCTGGGCGGGACCGGGTCCCCCTGTGCTGGCCCCGCACGACAGACTGGGGGCGGCCGGCCCTGGAGCCCCGTCTGCCGCCTTGGGCAGCTCTGCAGTTCTCCCCAGACTCATTGAAGGCAGAGGCGGTCCCCTCGAATTTTAAACTTCAACCCGTAATGAAGAGCTTAAAATAGGAAAATGACAGTGGCGGTCCTGGGCCTGTGGAAGGTTCTGGGAGGGCAGCCAGCCCTGCACCCTGCGCCCTGCACCCTCGTGGCTTTCAGGGCCGGACGGGACAGGAGTGGAGGAGGGGGAGGCCACCCACGGGCAGTCCTGGGCGATGGTTTCTGGTGGTTGGTCCTGCGGGTCCATCTTGGGCGATCAGCCCTGGGGGTCGGTCCTGGGGGGTCCATCCTGGGCGATCAGCACTGGGGGTCGTTCCTGCGGGTCCAACCTGGGCGATGGGTCCTGGGGGTCAGTCCTGGGGGTCAGTCCTGCGGGTCCATCCTGGGCGATGGCTCCTGGGGGTCAGTCCTGGGAGGTCCAACCTGGGCGATCGGCCCTGGGGGTCTATCCTGGGCTGTCCATCCTGGGCAGCGAGTGGCGCTGGCTGGTCGGTCCCGGGAGTCCATCCTGGGCCATCTGTCCTGGGCAGCAAATGGCGCTGGCCGGCCGGTTCTGGATCGCGGGCAGGGCTCTCCAGCAGTTCCTCTGAGCCAGGCGGGATGGCCAGGGAAGACTGCTCTGAGGCTCTGCTTGTCCTTGCACAGCAGGGTGTTCCAATCCTCAAATCCGGCGGCGTCTGCGCGGTCCCAGTCTGCCTTCTTTATTTGTACTGCGTTGAGAAAAGGCCAGAGCTCTAGCCTAGTGGTTAAGGAGGCAGAGCCCAAGAGTCCAGCTGCAGCTCGAATCCAGCCCTGGCAACTTCAGAGACACTGGTGCATGTGCATGCATGTCCCCAGATCCCAACAGGACAGACAAATGGAGGAAGGGGGATTGTGTCACGCCTCACGGGTGCTTTCGCCCTCTGGTAAGCACTGTACCCCCAGCAATTAGTTTTAAAATTTTAAGTTCTTCCATGATAGAAACTACCCCAGCGAGGGCCTGGTGTCCGGATGGGCCAGTGTCAGTGGCCCAGACCGCAGCACACACGTCCTCTGTGATCCGGAGGCTTCTGGTTGGGAGCCTGGCCCCTGCCCATGTGGGCCCGTCTTGCACTGCATGTCCCCGGCCCATCTGCCCTCTTCCAACCCACAGACACGCAAATGAACAGACTTGAAATCAAGTTTGCGAAGCGTGGCTCACAAAGGAGGTTTGAAGTTCTGGCCATTAAGGGGAAACACTGACGTTCTTATTTTCTGTCGTATTCTGCAGTAACAGCTTAGCTACTCCAGCGTGGCGAGTTGTCACAGCCCCTGCTCTCGTGAGATTCGGGGGGGCCGGCGGTGTCCAGTGTGCAGTGACAGCACGCCCGACCCCAGGCAGGAGGAAACGGGTGTGTGGTTGTAAGTGACAGTCCACACCAGGGACGCACATGTGCTCGTCTGAGAGAAGCAGAGAGGGTGAGAAAGCTCCCCTGAGGGGTGGCCCCCACAATCTTCTCTCCGTCCTGCAGGATCTGGGCGTGCACGCACACACATCTGGCACACTTTCCACGTCACCTCATCCGGGACTTGAACTACGCAGCCGCGCTCTGGCGAGACCTAGAGCCGCCTGCTCGCCAGAGCTGGTCCAGTTTGAATGGACTATTTGTGGAATATCCAGAACAGTAACTAAATACAGGTTAAGCATCTCTGATTTGAAAATCAGAACTTATTCATAGAATGCTGCGAAATCAAACTTTTTGAGCACTATCCAGAACACTTGTGGGAAATTCCACACCTGACCTCGTGTGATAGGTTGCAGTCAAAACGCTACAGTATGAAAATACTGTATTAAATCACCTTCAGGCTGTGCATGCGAGGCCAATGTGAAACCTGAATAACTATATCCACACCTGTGTCTCATCCCCAAGGCTTCTCGTGTAAATGCAAATGTTCTAGAATTGGAAAAAAAAATGAAATCAGCCACTTCTGGTCCCAAGCATTTCGAATACGGGCGATGCCACCTGTGGGTATTTTCCTAAGGGTACTACCGTCGGCTCAGTCAGCCCAGCCAGAAAGCCATTTCTAACGTCTCTTGTTCTTTGATGTCCCCTGCAGAGGAGTTCAGACCCTCACTCTGTCTTACCTGGGGAGCTGCCGTAGTCTCTTGCCTCAAAAGTTTTTAAACTTGGGACCAGCAGTTACCATAACAGCTATGTCACTGGACTCCCATGTAGTCAACCGCGGTTCGAGGCCAGGACCTGGCAGCTTAAACTCAAGCCAGGCACGTGTGTGTGTGTGCCCAAGATCCCGAGAGGAGAATGGAGGAGAAGGGATTGCAGTGTGGCCATCTCCCCCTGGGGGGTGATTTCTCGCTTTCTGTCTCTATGTCTCTCTCTGTCTTTCTGGCAAGTGCACGCGCCCTGTAGCAAAAACCTCTCCAAAAAAAAAAGAAAAAAAATTTTTTTGAACTTGAGACTGTTACATTGAGAAGTATAACTACTACTTATACCCCAATAGTGACGTTAGTACTTTTTTTTTTTTCATCTTAGTGAGCATGCACTCACCAGAAAGAGACAGTGACAGGGAGAGGTGAGAAATCACACCCACACGCACCTGGGGATGGCCATGCCCACAGTCCCGCCCCATTCTCTTCCTGGGATCTTGGGCATGCACGGTGGTGTGAGTTTCAATCCACCAGGTCCAAGACTCGAGCCACAGCCGGCCATGTGGCAGTCCAGTGACGTCGCCATCACGCCATCTGGTGGCCCCAGGGTTAGCAAATACTAACAACTTTGCGCATCTGCTTAGGTTTTTATTTTAGAGAAGTGAAGTTCCGCAGTTCCCTCTCCTGGCCCCGGTCGTCCTCTGCCCTCCCCAGAGGTAAGCGCACTCCGCACTGTGTGTCCCCACCACTGTGTGTGCGCCTCGGACAGCACACACTGCTGCTCAGGGACACTTCAAATACAGGTAGCAGCACACTCCTGGGGTCACTCCTTGTCCCTGAGATAGAGTCATGTCCTTCTGTAGGAATCACATTCCCCTCTTAAAGTCTGTTCTAAGTATGACAGGCAAGCACCCTCAGTGGGGTTCCTGGCCACGACG